AATTTTAAGCACCTTCGGTGCTTAAATCGACCAATCAAATAGCATACAGCAAATAACTCAGTTATTGGGCACTTCGTGCCCAATAACTATTAATTAACTTACATCTTTTGCAAATTTGCAGCTTATTTTTCTATCATATTATACATAAAGATAACAATAAATAATTTGATAATTTTTTTTTAAAATCCTTATTGCGACTTATGTTAAGACCGTTTATGCTAAAATTTAGACCTTATCTTTTTTACCAAACTTACTGATATCTACGCATACTCTTTATTAACAACTCGAACTATAGATAAGTTAAACCTTCCAAAAAAACGAAAAACATGTCTGCAAGCATTAATAAGTTGATCACCTATATTGAATATTAGCCAAAACATGCATCCCAAACTTTATATAAAACAAGACCAATTCTCGATCTCATCAGCCAAACCAATTTTTTTACAAATATATCCATTAATTATCTATAAATGATTTAATAAACTTTCTCTTTGAAAAATCGATAACTTAACCCATTTTTAAAACAAACTTACGATTTGTTCGATAAACTTCATATACAGTCTCTCTGCGTAACGAAACTCTGTATAACAATTCTAAGTCTAATGAACTCAATATTTTTAAAACTCTGTATAACAATAACTAAATCTAATGAACTCAACATTTTTAGATAAATTATCATGTAACGATCTCAAAAAACTAAAATATTGTGAGGCTATAATTAAAGAAGCTAGCCGTTTAATACCAGCGGTACCTTTTACATTCCGTCACACCACTACTGAATGTGAAATTGCTGGATATCAATGGCCAGCTGGTACAGATTTTCATATAAATTTTGCAGGAGGACATACTCACCCTGAGAGTTGGGATAATCCTAAAATTTTTAATCCGGATAGGTGGCTTTATGATAATGATGGTAATATCGATAGATCTGCTTGGATGCCGTGGGGTGGAGGTAAACGTATATGTCCTGGAAAAAATCTGTCAATTATCGTGTTACTTTTAGTAATGTCTTCATTATATAAAAATTATAATGTTGAGCATGAGCCATTGAAAATTCATACTCAAATAGTTTCTTATTGTACAGAATTGAAAGTTAGAATTAGTCCTCGAACTTGATTTATTAATTTAGTTTAAGAGTAATTTTTTATTAAGTTAGAATTAGTCCTTATTAATTTAGTTTAACAGTATTTTTTTATTAAGTTAGAATTAGTCCTCGAGCTTGATTTATTAATTTAGTTTAAGAGTATTTAAATTATTAATTAATTTGATATTATTATATAAAAGTTTAATTACATACGAGCTAATGATTAATTAATTTGTAATCATTATGTAAAAGTTTAATTACGTACGAGCTAACAACGTATTTATCATGTGAGAAATCAGTGTATTATTATTACAAATATCACATTTCTAAATTTTCAATATTAATTTTACAAATGTTTATGAATCATTGTAATTTTAAATCCATTTAATAATTTTATACTCAAAAAATTTAGACTTTTCTTAATTTACATTAATTATCAATTATACGGCATTTTCTATGTATCGGATTTTGCATTTACAAACTGTTATCCGGCATTTGAATTTTATCATTTTTAT